TACTCCAAGGTGGCTCCCAGTGTGTGAGCTTGCCCAGCCTGCAGGCTACAGGTGTGTGTAGAGGGGCAGGGGCGGGTTGTGCTGCCAGGGTGCCGAGTGCTCTGCAGGCTGCAGACTTCTCACCCTGTAAGCCAGGGAAGGGGGTCAGGGTGTCTCTGAGGCTCCACCCCCCTGATCTAGTGAGCTCCCAAAGGCCATTCCGTCACGTTGACAGCCAGCATCTCAACATGCACATTGCACGGGGACCCAGACATTTGCCCCCTCCAAGCGACGTTAAGTAAATGTGGGAGCTGAAATGCAGAGAATAGGGTTGAGGCCCCTGCACTGCCTCATTGCCCAAGGTCAAGGTCAGGATCTGAGCTGCAGCATGCCTCTTCAGCCTCTTCCCAGGGTTCTATGGGGGCAGGCATGTGGGACAGTACCTGGCATGCCCATGGCCTCTGAGTGTCTAGATGTCCCATGCACACCCTGGAGGCAGTGGTGATGGCTCCAGGGTGAGTCCCCACCACCCTAGTGGGAGACTCTGCTTAAGCACCACTCCCATTTTAGCACCAATTGTTGCAAGCCTTTGGGGGAATGAACCAGCAGATGGAGGGGGGGGGGATCTATTGACATGGCATAACATGTTAAGCCTCCGTCTGTAGTGCCAGCATCCTGTATGGGTTCCAGCTAACGTCCTGGCTGCTCCACTTCCAATCCAGTTCCCTTCTTACAGCCTGGAAAGGAGCAGAGAATGACCAAAGTCCTTGGGTCCCCGCACTCACGAGGAATAACTGGAAGAAGTGCCTGGCTCCTGCTCTTGGTCTAGTCCAGCCCCAGCGGTTGCAACCATTTGGGCAGTGAACCAGCAAATGGAATATCTCTCTTTCTCTGACTTTTCTCCTCTCTGTAAAACTGCCTTTCCAATAAAAATACATGGATCTTTAAACATACATAAAGGGAGTTCTTGATTCCACACGTTACAGCTACAGTTAACAAGGGTGGCTGAGGCAGCAGGAGTAGCCAGAGAGCCCTGAACTCACTCTGGGCTCCACGCTGATCACTGAGTGCCCCTGGACAAGCACAGCCCACTCTGGGGTGCCAGTTCCACTGAGCAATCAGACAAGTTCTGGGCTCTGTGCCAGGGCAGGAGGCTGGTTCCTGTGTGTTGTTTCACAGCGGCCCCAGGAAATGACATGTGGCCAATGAGGCGAGGAGCAGGGTCAGGGGGGATTGTCCCGAGGGTTGGGATGGGTGGCACGCCGGGCCTGCGTCACTGCCGGACAATGGTTGCAACAGTCATTGTGCCAGGAGTGGAAAATCCTTCTCTGACTCCAGCTGTGAAGGCTGAAAATAGTCCAGGGCGGCACGGGAAGCCCCTGGGTACAGGGCTCAAAGCTGGGGAATGACCAGCCCCACTTGGCCCCATTGCTCCTTGGGCAGGGCCAGGGCTGCATTCCCAACTGAGCTGTTGGCAACAGAGCCAAGTCTGGGAGGACCCTGCTGAAGATGGGGAAACTGAGGGAGGAAGGGACTCGTCCAGGCCCCGCAGCAGGTCCATGAGGATGGAGGATATGAGAGCTCAGCTCAGGGTCTACCCCCTACCCCCGACACTGACTCAGCTTGCAGCCCAGGCACTCCTGCCAGGCTCCACCTGCCACCCCACAGGGACGAGGAGCACTGGGCATTGACCAGCATGGCAGCAGGGGAGCCATTCACCTCATGGTCCCTCAGAGGAGACCCTGTGCCCCCACACACCATGGTTCTTAGGGCTGTCTCATCAGCAGGTGCTGGCCATGCCTTTATGGTGATGCAGACAGGAATGTCTTCACTGAGGCGCAGAAGATGAGATGGAGAGCAAGGGCTGCAGGCTCCAGAGCGGCCAGCAGGTGGCCTCGGGTCATGCACATGGCATACACGCATTGGGACCAGCTCTGGTCGAGTACCAGGCTGGTTCTCACAGCTTCACATCTGGGTTCTTGCTTGTGCCAAGGTATGACTGTGCGTTCCAGGCTGGGCACTACCACACTTGCCTACAGAGGGACCAGCCTACAGAGACCACTCTCTTCCTCTCTCTCCTCCCACGGGCCCACTCCATGCTGCTCTCCCACAGGCAGGCACTCTGACAAGGTTCTACAAACTCACAAGCCTGTTTGCCCCAAAGTCCCCTGCAGTGTGTCAGGACAGAGGGTGGTCCCACTTCACCTCCGCCCCTCTGTGTTCCTACTTCTGCCTCCCACACTGGAGGAGCCTCAGCCACAGGGGTGCTGATCAAAAACTTCCTCTCCTCCAAGGTGTCTACCCCCATGTGGTGGGTAATTGTCAGCCCACTGCTCTGCCCCAATACCCCCTGGCATATGGCCGGGTGCCATGCTGCATGCTGCCTGGATACCCCTCGGGCCCACCCCCGTCACACTTTGTGGAAGGGGCGTTGTATTTAGATGAGAGAGCTAAGGTGCCACTGGGTTGAGTGACATGCCTGAGGCACCAGGCTGCAGAAGCAGAGTCCAGGTTCAATTCCAGAGAGTCTGGGCCCCCTTGCCTCCCTCTGCTGCCTCTCCCATCCTGACTCCTGAGCAGGGTCACCTTCAACCCTGCCGCTCTCTGCACTGCAGTGCTGGCAGGTGACGTGGGACACAAGAGGATTCACCTGGGCATCAGGAGGCCTTGGTGTCAACCTGGGGCCACCTTGCCTGCGTAGCCTGTCTCCTCTTGCTGGCTCATCCCCTACAGAGGTGATGTCTGCATCACAGCATTGTTGGGAATAACGGCTCATGTGTCATGAGGGTCCAGCCTCCCGTGCAGCCTGGGACACGACTCGTGTGTGAGCTCCTTCCATACAGGCCTGCCACGCCAAGGGAAGCAAGGAGACAGTGCTGCTGCCTGACCTGCATTCAAGCCCTACAGCGCCTGCTGTCTGGGGACTCTCCTAAGCTGGCAGCAAAGAGCAGGGATGTCTTCTTGGATTCTCATTCCTTCTTCTGCCCCAAACACATATGCCTATGTGCCAAAGCCCCTCCGGTCACTCAGGGTAACTGGGAGCAAGGCCCTGCACCCCACACCCTGCCCATGGGCCTCAGCCCTCACAGCTCCATTCACCCTGGATGCAGAAAGACACCTGGTCAGACAAGAGCATAGCACCCACAGGGGCATGGTCTGCCTGTAGGAGAGGGGAGGGGTGACCCGGCAGCAGGAGCGACAGGGCCCTTGGCTCATATCTGGGCACCACACTGACTCACAGGATGACCTTGGGCAAGGCCCTGCCCCTCTGTGGCCTTGGGTCTGTGTATAGCTGGGCTGGACAATCCCTGGGGTCCTGACGGTGGCGGGCGACACACGACTCACGTGCCTTTCTGCAGTGGAGTCAACAGCCGCAGGAAGTGGTGTCAGAGTGAGGAGGCAGGCAGGGGCCCAGAGGCCAAGAGGCTAAGAGGAGCTATTTTGAGGTCTGGCAGGCTCCCCTATGTCGCTGCTAGACAATGGTCTGTAGCCAGGAATGGAAAATCTTGGGCTTACTTTGGCTGAAAATAGCATGGGACGGCAGGGTCAGGGGCCTCATCGGCCAGGCAGGTGGTTCACACTGTGCAGCTGGCCAGATGTCCATGCTGGGGCTCAGTCAGGGACTCGGAGGGGGGACCCTGGCTCCCTGGGCCTCCATGCCTCACCTCCACCTGCTTCTCTTGTCCTCAAGGTCTTTAGACACTTGCTGGCAGGTGCTCAGGGAAAGGCCACAGGTTGTCTCCACCCACCCAATGTTGTGGGTTTGTGTGTGTGTGGGGGGGGGGGTGCGTTGGGTAGCAGGAAACGATGGGGCTTGCAGTAGTCAGGCTACGGAAGCCACACTCCAGGCCCCCCAAAGTCAGGCGGCACCAGCCCCCGCCTTCAGATTAGGCAGGATCTGGGTGGTGGGGAGGGGGGCCAAAGCCCAGCACTCACAGTCCCAGCTGGCAGAGCACCCCATCATGGGCAGGGCTTCCCACCAGCTGGGCAAGGGTTCAGTCTGAGTGACAGCCGCTGCCACAAAGATAGGCAGCAGGAGGAAGTCACCAGGACAGCTCAGTACCATGCCGGTTGCATTAAGGGAAGCACGGAGCCTAGCTGTACGGGGTGTGTGTGTGTGTGGGGGGGGGGTGAGTGCTGAGGTCACCATGTTGCACAACCATGTTGCACAATGATGAGTATATCGTGGCCTGGGATGGGGCCTGTCACAGGAGGGCGCTGTGGAGCTGCACCCTCAACTGAGCAGCCCTGAGAGCTGCCAAGGCACCATGGGAAGAAGGAGAGTGCATGAGGGGAGGAGAGGGGGAAGGAGAAGGGGTGCGGAGGTGTAGGGGAAGCCTTATCGGCCAGTTCAAGGGAGAGTCCCCACCTCGAGATCATGAAGGAGGCCTGCAGCTTCGCCCTTTCCTGCAGAAACTGGGGCTGAGTTCTGCCTGGCAGGGTCCCAAAGTCTCCCAGATGAGGCCCCTGTCCTACAATTGCATCTAGAAAGCGACAGACAACATGTGAGGAGCAACAAGTCTCTTGCACTCACCCAGAGTTCAAAGGCAGGGCATAAAGGAAACCTCCTTGGAGTCAGCTCCCAGCCCCTGCTCGCCCCCTCCCAAGCCTCATCTCTGTCTCATGCCTGAGCACCTGACGTCCCACCCCGGCCTGCCAGCACGGAGTCCTGCACACCCTGCACTCTTGCTCCCCTGTCTTGGTCCAGGCTGAATCCTGCAGTTGGATGGTCTCCTGGTGAACTAACCCCTTTTCTCAGAAGCCGTGATTCAGGAGCCACTCTGCCCACTTCAGGAAATCTCCCCTAACCCTTGGCCCACAGCCCCAGCCCCTCGGTGTGATCCGGGGCAGGCTGTAGCAGCTTGGGTTTGGTTAGAAGGACCGAATGCTTAAACATAAGGGAACTGCAGAGAAGACGCCGCAGTCTGCAACTGGTTATCGGCAGGGCTGTCTGCACCATAGCTATTGTCAGGGCCACAGCTGAAGGGTACCCTGTATACACACACACATACAAGATCCAGTTAAATAGTCTAACATTTACCAGCACCTGACCGCAGTCACCTAAGCCAGGGAGCACCAAGGATGTGACCCATGCGATACTTCCCTATGCCCAGAGCAGTGTCAAGCACTGGCGGCTTTAAAGTAGTGGTGACCTGGGGTCTGGAAAGGGATTCCTGGGGTGAGGCATCCCTGGAGCAGTTGGGAGGAAGGCAGGTGGCAGTGGGAGAGAACAAGCTGGGAGGAGCCTAGTGTGGATGGTGACAGCTGCCCAGGCCCAGCCCCTGTCCTTCACCAGCGACAGGCAGCAGCTCAGCAGGCAGCCCAACTTTAGTGTAAGTTACAGCCTTGATGTCGGCCCTGGGGAATCCCCAGATATCCACCCTTGAGGCCTGAGCCCACCATGGCACTCAGTCCTGGCCCATGCCACCACAGGAGTTCAGTCCTAACCACTGACTGGGATCCTCTGAGCCACCACTCTGGCGAGCTCAGGCCTTGAATCCAACGTGTGACCTTGGGAGGACACCTCCCTCTCCTGCCTGACTCTCCCTCTGACTTGAGCTGGCCGGAGTAGCTTCTGGTATGGAAGTCAGGTGGCACCAGCCCTGCACACTTACTTCCCATGAACCCTCGTTCCCCCATGCACATGTGCAGGGGTTGACTGGGGATCCCTCTGACTCACTGACCCTGCCAAAGGACAGGCCCCAGGGTCTGGTCACCACGGTGAGTCCCCAGTAGCCCTCCATCCAGCTGCCCAAGCCCTGGTGCCCCACAGGTCCCCTTGTGTAAATGTGCACAGCCAAGGCACCCAGGGCCTACAGCCGGATGTCCCTGCTGCTCTCGCTCTCAGCAGGTGTGGATGCCGTCTGCCTGGAGTCTTCACTGCTGGCTGACACTTCTTCTGTCCTCTTGGTGTCTGTCCTGTTGGACCGGTGCAGGCCCAGCCTGCGGTGAGCCCGGGGGTCTGGGCTGGGGTCTGTGGGGGGCTTGGCATCGCGGGCAAAGCGGACGAGCCTTTGCCCAGCTAGGAAGTAGAGCACGGGATCGAGGCAGCTGTTGGCACTGGCTAGAGGCCGGGTGACCTTGTAGGCCATGTTGATGGCATTGAGTGTGTGGCAGCTGAGGTCCAGGGTGCGGAAGGAGTAGTAGAGGGTGCGGGTGACGTGGAAGGGCAGGAAGCAGATGACAAAGACGGTCAGCACCACAGCGATGGTGCGCACCGACTTGCGCTTGGCCCGCGGCAGGCCTCCCCTGGTGCCATGAGCAGGCTGCAGCAGCCGCCGGGCCATGAGAGCGTAACATACCAAGATGACAGCGAAGGGCACGGCAAAGAGCAGGCCCAGCATGACGGAGCTGTAGGCCATGAAGTGGCCAAACAACTCAGGTGCCGAGGTGTCGTGGCAGGTGATGCGGTCCCCGCGGGTGCTGGTGGTGACGAAGTAGAGCACAGGGGCCTGGCAGGCGAGCACCAGCAGCCATACCCCGGCGGCCACCCTGCGGGCGTAGTGCGCCCGGCCCCAGCGCAGGGAGAGCAGGGGCCGCAGCACACCCAGGCAGCGGTGCAGGCTGATGCAGGTGAGGAAGAGGATGCTGCAGTACAGGTTGGTGTAGAAGAGGAAGCGTACCAGCTTGCAGAGCACCGTGCTGAAGGGCCAGTGGTCGCCGCGAGCATAGTAGTAGACGAGCAGCGGCAGGGAGGCTGCGTAGAGCGCGTCAGACACCGCCAGGTGGAACATGTAGGTGGTGGACGCGTTCCAGGTCTTGAGACGGCACAGGAAGATGTAGAGCGCCACCACATTCAGACACAATCCCAGCACACACACCACGCCGTATGACACGGGCAGCAGCACGTACTTGAAGTCCTCGTCAAAACGGCACTTGTAGCCCAGCTCGTCTCCTTCCCAAGTGTCATTGAGGGTGCTGTTCCAGGGGCCCGGGCTCGCCAACGCCATCACCCTGCAACAGAGGGAGGAAGACGGCTGTCCGTCAGGGTCGTAGCCTTCTGGATGCCTGCCTACCAGGGCCTTTGGTACTGTCATCTGACCTCTAGCTCTCCCTGACCCAGACTATGCAAATCTTGGGACCTGGAGAGTACATGAAACCCATGCTTATGAGGATCGTATTCTGCTAAGTCTTTGGAACATATCAGAGGCAAATGACATCCTTGGAACCAACCCCAACTCCTCCTGGATGTAATGTTTCCAATGGGCACAACCAAATCCTCTCTGTCTGCAAGGAGCTGTGTGGCTGTGACACATACAGGATGGCTTGAGGACCAGATGGACCCCCTGGACCCTGGAACAAAGTGGCTGACCCTGCACTACACCCTCAGGGTCACAGAGCTCCTCATCCTGGATTCTGAGTCCCTAAACTTGAGGATGTTGGGGTACAATTCTAAATTTCTAGGAAGAAGCTGGGAAGGCTGACAGAGCAGCTGCACTCCAGTGCCCACTGCCTGTGGAGGCGTTTCCTGCTGTTGTCCACCCATAGGTGTCCATCTGGGCAGGCTCCAGCCTGTGCTTGGTATGCTAGAGTTTGAGAAAGTGCTTCCAAGGGTGCCCCTCTTCAGCCACTCATTCACCCACTCAGCAAACATTTCCTGGGCTCTCTACCTGGGGGCACTTCCTGCTTCTGCAAACAGCAGCTCTGCCCCCAGCTCCTGTCCCTCCCCTGCCAGATTTGCAGGCTTGTAGAGGGGATTGGGGACTCCCTGGAGGGTCCCTGGGAAGTTTGGGGTAGAGGTGGGCATGGGGTAAGGGCACTACTTTTGAGGGGTAAATCTGACTTCTTTGGGGCTTGCTACTTGCCCAGCATCCCTGTCTGCCCACCCTCCACCCTTGCCTGGTGAGCCAGCACAGCTCCTGCAGGCTCTGGCTGCCGAGCAAACCCAAGCAGCTGGTCCGCCATCTTCCTTCTCTCCACTTGCCAACGTTGGAAGCATGGGACAGACATGATGGTCTGAAGGACAAAGAGGTGCCAGAGGCCAACGTGGGAATTGTAGCAGGAGAACTAGGTGGGCAGTGTGGGGAAAGCACAGGATCGTGTGAGGGGTAGGTGGTGCTTAGGATCTTTAAACCTCATTACTATGATACCTTTCACAAAAGCTGCTTAGGACACATCTGGGAACCCGATCAACACTTCCAACATGCCAGCCAGGAAGCTAAGCCGCAGCTCACATGAGTCACCTGGTCAAGGTTACATGGTCAGAGGTGGGCTGAGGTACCCTCAGCAGGGAGGGCTCTAGGAAGTAGTGAGCCCCCTGTTGTGTGTGTTGAGATCAGGATGAAGGGGGCGGTGTAAGCAGCTGTGGAGCTGAGGTTGCAGGGGCACCATGCCCTGGGAGTGCCTCAGGGCGACAGGACAGAGGGGTGGATGATGGCTGAGTCCTCCCCACCTGCTGGTGGCACCCACTCCCTTAGCCCCAGCTCCATCCCCCACCCAGCAGCAATTTGGAATCCATGAAGTTTAGTACCTCCCCCTCCTTCCAACTCCTACTGCTGGGACTTACTCACGCCCCTTACCTCCTGATGAAGTGACAGCCTCCAGCCCTCAGCTTACCACACCTCAGCCCAAGCCCCTGACCTTGTCCCTGGAGCATGGCTCTGCGAATAGTGCTTGCAGCTGGGCCTGGCACAAAAATGGTCCACTGTGGCATTGGGGCTCCCAGGGGGCCTCTTCCAGAGACCTCAGCTATCTCAGACCCCAGGTCATCACTGGGGAGACACGGGAGGTACTGGCCATGCTGGGTCAGCCTGGGCACCTGGTGAGGGGCAGACCTCAGCGCCTCCTGCGATGCAAACAAGGACACCTGCTCCAGAGGCAGGAGGTGGGGGCGTGGCAGTCCACAGGCGGCAGGAAAGATAGGTAGGAATTTAGTCAGACATGACAAGTGTGGGGACAGACACAAGCGGAGGCCATTGAGCCCACACTTTGGAAGGCGAGCTGGGCTCTTACAAGCTGCAGGAGCCATGTCCCAGTGTGAGACTGAGGAACCAAGGGTGGTAGAGGTGGGAGGTGGGGGTTATTGTTCTGTCTGGGACAAGGCCCAGCCTGGGAACCAGAGACCCCTGGTCCCAGGTTGGAACCAGTCTTGCCTTAGAACCCCCGGGGGACTTCAGGCATTTCCCCTCGACCCCACCCCTGAGACTCCGACCTCTCCTGGGTCAGATCCCTTGACCTCCTCCCTCCCCGAACCCCCCTTCCCCTTGCAGGGGGTGACGCTTCCTCCGTGCTCCTGCATGGCTCCAGCTGCAGCTGTGGTTCAGCTCCTGCCCTGGGTGTCCTCAGGGATGTCACCAGGCCCTAATCAGCATCTCCTGGCTCCAGCAGTTTCCCGCCCACCACTGATGGAGGAATATCTGACACACTGAGGAGAGGGGCAGGGACGGGGATTGCCCCTTCCACCTGCTTCCAAGTCATTTTGGCCTCCGCCCTGCAAGGCCAGCTGGGGCTTCCATCACCATGGCCCTGGGCCAGCCTGACCCTGTGGCGTTCTTTCTCCCACAGTGGTGAGCATGACCTCCTGAACCCGAGTCCCTGCACCAGGGAACCAGCTGTGCTTCCAGTGCTCCTCTATTCTGGTCCGCCCTCTCTGCCTCTCCTAACCCAAGTCCCCCCTGAGGTGGTTCCACACCTTTAATGGTGCCCAGTGCTGCTGCCTGGTCCTTCCCTGAGGAGCTGCCACCATGGAGAGGAGGCAGGAGTCCTTGCAGGTTCTGGCTAAGCTGCTCTGCCTTTGCTCTGCCTCCCCCCCCGCCCCCCAGCACTTCATCTCATGCACAGCTCCAGGTTTTCATCACTGACACTCCTCAGCCTCACACCTGAAACCCTGGGGTGGGAGGGCCTTTCTCACTCACGCTGCCTTGCTCCCACCCCCACCCCACCATAAGGCATTTTAGTGTTCTGTCACCCAGCAAGAGGCCAGACCAGCAAAGTTGCTACAGAACCACGGTGGGGGGTGAGGGGGTCGGGGATGAACAGATGCAGCCAGCTCTGGGGGCTGCCAGGGCGCCAAGGCAGCAAACCCGATGAAGGCTGTCTTCCTTTTCCTGGCTCCTTACAGGCGTCCCAAAGGACAAGAACCATGATTTCTTCACATCTTACTTTGCTGGCCAGGGCACAGTCCTCTTGGGGGTCCAGCACATTGGTCAGTCCTGCCCCAGATGAACCCATCTCTCTTTGAAGCAGCAGGGGCTCAGTTAATCCTGCTCATCGCTGAGCAGACCAGGGGAGGGACGTGGGAAGGCTATTATGAATCCATCTCAGGTTCAGGTCAGGGGTCAGCCTGGTCATGGCTCCGTTCCGCCACCCTTGCTCCGTGGTGGCCAGGCATGGGCCAAGCAGTTCCCACAAGACCTCTATGGTTTATCTCGGCCCACCTGGCTGGGAGGATTTACGCCTGAGGGGTGGGGTTATTTGAGGTCATCCTGCCAGGAACTGGAAAAATTGACACCCAGCGCTATTTTACTGCAAAGCTTAAATGCCTGGGACAAAAGAAACGTCCGGCATCTGCCTAATGTTCCCCTGAGCCTCAGCCCAGGTCTGTGTGCATGCGCACACACACACACACACACACACACACACACACCCCTGTCCCAGGCTCCCCGCCCCTTCACCTGCCCGTGCACACCCGTACCTGACCGGGCCCTGTGCGCTCTGGCTGGTAGGATGCTCAGCGCCGGCTTGGATTCCTCACTCATGAATGCACCTGCCTGGACCCGCTGCAGGGACCTCTGCAGAAAACAGGAAAAACAGGTCCGTCGGCCTCTTGCCAGGTTCAGCCTCCAACATTTTCCAGGGCAGGTGGTGCCACAGCCACAGGGGGCTCCTACAAACACAGGGAGTGGAGACAGCGTGGGCTCAGGATCAGAGGGACTCTCCCAGGGCTGCCTCCTCTGCTCTGACCTCCCTCGGCCGCCAGGAAGCAGAGGTGACTGGCTCAGAGCACCTGTAACCAGCCACCATGGCTAACTTGTTCCCGGCAGGGGCTGTCTACAGCTTCCTTGCCCAGGGAGCCAAGCATGCTAGTTTTCTGGTCCTTTCCAGTGGGAGAAATAGTCCATACCTTCCTTATGCACCCAGCCAGAGGCATGGGTCTCTCAGGAAGTCAGAGACGTCTGAATGTGGACCCTAGCTCTTGTCTTTGCCTGCAAGCCCTCAGGCCGCATCACGCGTAGGGCTTCAATAAGAGGGTGGTTGCCGGCCCTTTCTGCTTGGGCAGGCAGGTCCCAGCATGCAGCAGGACCCCAGAGGCATCATGGAAGGAAAAGAGCAGCCTCCTTCTGAACTGGCTATGCATGTCTGTCTGCCTCACTTCCTGATGAGCACAGGGAGAGGGGTTTGAGATAGCTGAGGTCAGGGCTCCATGGTGGGGCCCACTAGGAAGCATGGAACAAGGAACTGAGAAGAGCCAGGGCCACTGTCTGTTGAGTGCCTGGTGCTGGCTCAGCTCACTGGTGCTCCTGGCTGGGGCGCTCTGGTGTCTGGTGATAAGGTGGCAGAACCTCGCTTGACTCACAAGGTCATTCTCCCTTCTTGGGGAGCAGCCTGCATCTCCTTGCAGGCTCTGGGCCTGCCTTGCAGCCCTGGCCAGCTCTCTCTGCCAGCCCTATGGCACCTGTGCCTGTCACTAACCATGCTGCCCTGTCCCGTGGCCCAGGCCTTGACCACTGCAGAGCCTCCTCCCTGGACTCCCTGCCTGCCCCACGCATCCTGCCTTCCCCCAAACACATATCTGACACCAGCTGCCCAGCTTAGAGACCTTCCACAGCTCTCTCTACTTTTTCTGTCTCTTCTTGTCTCTCTCTGACTCTCGAAGTAAATAAAATTAAATCTTAGGCCCAGTGCAATGACTCAATTGGTTAATCTTCCCCCTACCAGTGCCAGGATTCCTTATGGGCGCCAGCTCGTGTCCCAGATGCTCCACTTCCCATGCAGCTCCTTGTTTGTGGCTTGGGACAGCACTAGAGGATGACCCAAAGCCTTGTGACCCTGCACCCTGCATGGGAGACCCAGAATAAGCTCCTAGCTTCAGATTAGATCAACTCCAGCCATTGCAACCACTTGAGGAGTAAACCAGTAGATGGAAGACCTTTCTGTCTTTCCTTCTCTCTGTAAATCTACCTCTCCAACAAAAAAAAATAATTATTTAAAAATAAAAATAAATTTTAAAAAGACACAAAACCCCACCACTAAGCCCTTCCACAGCTTTCTGGGGCCTCAGGCTCTCCCAGGAAGTCCCACCCCTTCGTCTCCAGTCCCAGCACCGCAGAAGCAGTTCCCACTGCCACATCTTTGCTGGCAACCAGCTTCCTCATCTTCTAACACCAGACGCAGCTGCTGGTACCGAGCCAGGTTTTTGGAGGAGGCTTACTAGGTCCCTTCGGTTTTAAATCTGGGATTCAGGACAGCCTTATGGCCTCAGCGAGCCCATGGCTCAGCAGCTCTAGTCCCTGTGCGCTGCCTCCTACCTGCAGGGCAGGTCCTCTCCTGCTGGAAGCTCCCTAACGCCTCTGGCAGCCCCATGGCTCCACTTGCCTGCTTAGATCTCTAGGGAAGCATACAACGGGCAGCGCCTGGTATCTACTCTTCTTGGTACCTTCCTGGTGGGAGGAACATAATGGCTATTGTACCCATCTCACGAGTAGAAAGCTTGTAGCACAAGGTTTCTCTAAAAGCTGTGCATGCAGACTATCTACCCTGTGCCTTAGCTTTCCTCCTCCCAGTCTGTGACCCTGGGCTAGTGAGAGAGTCCCAAAGCAGGAAGCGGGCGGGGGACAGCTCGCAGGCTGACTACAAGAGAAACGTGCAGGGTGGTTAGACAGCATTCCACGTCCTCTACCAGCAGGGCTCTGGAATGTGCCACCCACTAAGCTGGCAGACCCTGTCTTGCCTGCCACGGGGCGTGTCCAGTACCCCTCTGGAGAACCCCTTGCTGCCTGTCCCTGCCAGGGTTGGGGTGAGAGAGGACCTGGGCCCGGGACACTGCAGGTGTCCTCCTAGAACAGGATACCTCCCAGGACAGGAGAGGGCATGGGGTAAGTGGGTGGGAAATCCCAGTTGTGTCACTGCCAACCACATGGCCAGATGAGTCTCGGCTCTCCAAAGCCCCAACCCCAGCATCCTCAGGGGTGTCAGCAGTACCTGCTCCCAAGGCCTGCCGGGAGAGTGAGAGGATGGCCACCCCGACTCCGCCTACCACAGGATGAGAGGCAAGCAGGTGGCAAAGCCAGGAGCATGGAGTAACCTGGAAGCCAAGCACAGGAAGTGTGGGCTGGGCTACACTGAACAGGCCCCTACATCGTAGGCCCTCCTCCGGGGGAGGACAGTCCCAAGACCCCCATGGTACAGGAAGTCACACTCTGTCACACTCGGCCAACTTGGTCATCTCCATGGCTGGCCCTGCACAGAGGCATTTGGGGACTCTGAGTCCCAGACCCCACCCTTCCCTGATCTCTCAGTGAGTTCATGGTCAAGGTGGCAAGAGGCACACCCAGAAAGTGGCAATGATGATCCAGGGTGCTCAGGCATGAAGGAAGCCAAGGAGACCTCTAAGGGGAATGGAGAGGTAATTAGGGAGGGCTTCCTGGAGGAGAGGACAACGGGCGCTTGCATCCTGGAAGATGAGTAGTCCAGTGGGTAGAGAGAGGGAAGGAGCAGAGTGAGCAAGAGCCAAGGCTAGGAGCCACCTGGGGAGCTGCTCAGGGCCGCTATAGCTTGACCGATCTGGGGCTGCACAGGCTCGGGAGTTTAGACATCACCCCAGCCCCTCCCAAACAGCGTCCTGCTGGCCCCATGTGCTGCTTCTGCACTGCTGGGCAGGGAAGCCACTGAGGGGCACCTCCTCAGCTACAACTGGTACTGTTCTGGGGTGAGGATCTTTCCTGCTTGGGGCCTCCTGCCAACCTGAGCCCAGAGCACCTGAGAGGAGGCTGGGAACTTTCAGGAGGCTCCTAATGAGGAGTTGTTATTCTCTTTGGCATGGGGTGGGTATCCCTAGCCCTAGCCCACGGGGCAGGACCCCACACCTGCCCCAATGCCCCGGACACTGCCTCTGGTCACACCTGGAGGCCTCCAGCCTGAGGCCAGCTCCCTGAGTCCAGGATCAAACTCAGAGCCATCTTCTGGTCCTATTGGAGGCAGCCATCTGTTTGAACCATGAGTTGCCCGCTGGCCAAGCTGTACAGAAGGGCTCCAGGGGAGAAAGGTGGCGAGTGAGGCAGAAGGCCAGGTGGGGTCCCTGCCCCTGGATCCAGGAGAGGGGTGGAGGGAATGTCCTTGGAAGTGGAGCCATGGTCCCGCTGTAGGAGTTGCAGGCAGGGTCCTGCTTGGGAAAACTGCGAACAGAATTAGGGAAGGGACAGAATCCAAAGCAAGTTGCAGGGCCTAGAGGCAGAGACAGTTTCTTAGAAGTTGCCAGGCCGCATGTTTGTGGCTTTCAAGTCTGCTTCCAAGAGGCTCCCCGTCTGGGGGTGACTGCTACGGGTTGCTTCGTTACTCTCACTCTCGGTCTACAAGGGTCTTAGAACCACAAACAGCAGAGCTATTGTGATGCGCGGAGTCCTGTCTGACACTTGCTGATGCCCATGCTAGCATGGCTTCAGGAGGACTTGCAAAGCCAGCAGAGTCCCAGCTAGGAGCATGAACCCCATCCATGCAGGTGATTAAAGGCACCATCAAAGGATGCTCAGGGCAATTCCTACTGCACCTAGGGGGAGGTGGCCAGGGAGAACTTCCCAGAGGAGGGGTCATCTGATTTGGGGAACTTTTTAGGCAGAGAGGGGCAGGAGGGAGAGCTTAGAAGGCAGAGGGAGGGTGTTACAGAGACAGTGCAGCTCCCTGGGGAAAGCCCGGAGTGTTGGATGGTGTGGAATGTGCGGGGGGTCTGGGCAATGCCAATAAGAGGGCGTACATGCCAGGCTAGGGAGTTGGCCCCTGCTCTGGAGACAATGGCAGGGCTCAAAAGAGGACGGCCATGGTCAAAGCTGACCTTTATGCCCATGGTGCCAAATGGAAGGTGGTTGGAGCTTGGTGGCCTGGAAGGAGAGGCCAGAAAGACTGTAAATATGCCAATAGTGGCTTGATTTGTTACATGACAACACCTGCTCCAGTGCCTGGAATTTGACGGCTCCCTGCCCCTTTGCAGAGGCAACTTGCTGCTAAAAATTTTCTAAAATGGAAGGCCCAGATGCTTCTCAAAATCTCCCTGGGGGAGGGGGTTGTCAGGGTGACAGGGGGTGCTGGAGCTCTGCCCAGAAAGCTCGGGTGGAGGTGGGGCTCTCTCCTCTTATACCACGTGTGCACGGTCAGCTGCTCAATCCATTTCCCACACCTTCAGTGGCACCTGCTTCGGGTCTGACCTGTGTTAGCTGAAAGGGGAACCCAGGTCCTACACACAGGTCCCCCATGGTGATGGTCTTCCCCTGATTGAGGCCAGGCTGGGGATCCAAGGACAACCCAAGAGAAAGATGCAGGCCAAAGAGTGTACCTAGCACAGCATCATGGAGGAAAGACTGTCAGGGGTCCCTCCTGTTCCCCTCGATGGATCCACAGGGCTTCCCCAGTCCTGTCCGCTGCTGAGCGATTTGGCCACAAGCAAACTCCACAGACAGGTTCCCATGGCAGAAACCTGTAAGTTAGAGACCCAAGCCCAGCTTTGATGGGAGAGGGCAAAGCTGGAGCAGGGCGGCGCTGGGGGAGTGGGGGCTCCAGGCGTTTCCTCTTCAGTGTGACCTGGGGATGGTACTGTGCATGCCTCCTTGTCCCCGCCTGTGGAATGGAAGTCACAGTTCCTAGCTCCTGGGCCTGCTGAGAGACAGAAGAAGTCCTGGTGGCAAGCTGCCTCTGCAGGGCGAGCACAGGAAGCGATGACACTCCATCACTGAGTAGTGAAAAGGATCCTCCCCTCTTCCACTCAAGGCTACACTGAGGATTCTTAAAATGATGGCCAGAAGAAGGTTTTGTACGCTATAAAGTGCAATGCCTAGGAGGTGTATGGGATACTCCTAGGTAGAAAAGTATTCTGAAGACAATCCATAGCCAGGGATTGTGTCAGGAATAGGGATTATAAAAAAAAAATAATACTTTTGTATTTGAAAGGTAAAGTGATACAGAGAAAGACGGAGAGACACAGAGAGATCACCCATCTGCTGGTGCACTGCTTGGGGTGCCAGCACCCCACCCTGGAACACTAGTTTCCATCCCAGCCAAGCCAATCAGCTTCCAATCCAGCTTCTTGCTAATGTGCCTGACAAAGTAGCAGAACATGGTTCAATGCCTGCGCCCCTGCCACCTACATAGGACACCCAGCTGGAGTTCTAGGCTCCTGGTTTTGGCCCAATACTCACTCTCCCTCAGGCAGTCTTCACGGAACCCAGGAGTCTGGAGCCTGTGTACATGCAGGGCAGAGAGAGGTGGCAGCCTAGCTCTTCAGCCCACTCTGCCAGCCAGGTGAAGGATACTTACTGTGAGCTCTCTCTGTCTCTATGACAGACCCCAGGACAGCTCAAGGCAGGGAGCAGACAAGAATGAGTGACAAGGCCCTGGTAATGGGGCACGGCAGATTAGGCTGTGGCTTCAGAAGCTGACACTCTATATTGGAGTGCCAGTTCAAGTCGTGATGCTGTACTTGTCATCCAACTGCACGCTAATGCACTCCTGGGAAAGCAGCGAAAGGTGGATCAAGTACTTAAGCCCCTCCACCCACGTGGGAGACCCCATTTGGGGAGTAAGCCAGCAAGTGGGATGTCCTTTTTCCACTCCTTCTGTCACTCTGCCTTTCAAATATAGATATATTCACTTAAAAATCTTTAGGTTTGGGCCTGGCGTGGTGGCGCAGAGCTTAAGGTCCTCGCCTTGCATGCCCAGGATCCCATATGGGCACTGGTTCTAATTCCGGCAGCCCCGCTTCCCATCCAGCTCCCTGCTTGTGGCCTGGGAAGGCAGTCGAGAACGGCCCAAAGCCTTGGGACCCTGCACCCGCGTGGGAGACCCGGAAGAGGCTCCTGGCTTCGGATCGGCATAGCATCAGCTGTTGTACTCACTTGGGGAGTGAAACATCGGACGGAAGATCTTCCTCTCTGTCTCTCCTCTCTGTATATCTGCCTTTCCAATAAAAAAAAAATAAAATAAATCTTTTAAAAAAATTAAAAAAAATGTTTAGGTTAGGAAAAAAAAAAGAGCATGACAAGCCTGCATGTAGCCACCCCCTCTCCTCACACACACACACACACACACACACACACACACACACACACACACACACACAGAGGTCCTATTGGTGCTGACCTCTTTTCAGAGGCAACAGAGCAGGAACTGTCCCACGTCACCCAGCAAGCAAGAGGCAGAGCTAGAATGCGATCGGTTGCTGGTCGCTTGGCTCCCATGGGAGACAGAGAGTCCTAAGTGTCTCCAAGTTCCATAGCAGGTGCATCAGAGGCTTGGGACAAAGTGTCAGGGCAAGGGCAGCCAGGACTCTGGGTTTCAGCTCCGCCTAGGATGGCTCTGGGGTCAGCTCGTGGACGTGGGATCTCCCTCCCTGCAGACAGCACTCTTTAGTCCTTTGTCTGACGAAGGTACAGGGCTGGGTGGGGTGGGGCGGGGGGCTGAACTGCTGCCCCAACTGCTATTCTCTCCTTCACTTCCTGGGAAAGCCAGGTTTTTCCACCTACATGTCTTGATTCAAGGGCCCCAGACCAGGGTGCTGTGGCAGTTTGTGCTGCCTCCCATCTGATCACTCTGGGTTTCCCTTCGTGATGACAAGGGGTTTGCCGCACAGTGGTAAGCAGCAAAGCAGAGAGGGCTGCCCAGCTCTGACTATCTCAATTCAGCTCAGCCCTGAGCAGGGAGGGTGTTGGCAGCACTGGTAAGTGAGGTACAGTTTTTGTCCTAGTCCCTGGAGGTCTGCGCCTGGGGTGAGGGAATTAGAGGATGGTCCTGAGTAGAACTGGAGCCCTCGGTACCAGAAGAGGTTGGGAGTTTCATCTTGATTACGGGGGGGGGGGGGGGGCAGGAAGGGGGAGGGCATCAAGGAAGGCTTTCTGGAAGAGGGGGCATCTGAGTTACGGGCATATCAGGCAGTGAGCACAACTGTCATGAGCCAGGAGCCAGCAGCAACTGCGTGTGCAGCAGAGGCCAAGTGCTATTACAGCAGGACAGGGAGCAGAGGATGGGGGGGGGGAAGTTGGCAGGTGCTTAGGGGGTTCAGCATCCAGGCTAAGGAGTTGGACATGGTCCTGTCGCAGTCCTGCCCCTGGGAGGGGTGCGCAGTGCCTTGGTTTCTGGAGGCCATCAGGGAATGACACCCTGCACCCCAATCAGTGAGCCTGTGGAGTGGGACAGACAACCCTGCTGAAACCTGACCCCAGAGCACAGGTCTCCTGCTGCCAAGGCAACCCTGGAAACTAGTTTAGGAGTCTCCAAGGTTCTGCTTCTTTCTCCCCCAGCCAACTGGGACGGCCCTGGGGTCTCCTTCACCCCCACCCCTCCCACCTTCAACAGTTCATTCTTGTTCCAATCTGGATCTCAGACCCACTGGGCAGGTCAGGCTGTGTCTCTCCACACCGCCCCCCCCCTCCCCCGCCCCGGTGCTGGAAAGCGGAGGATGCCCGTTGAGAGGAACCACAGCCCAGCAGCACAGGGCTCTGGGACCCAGCTCACACAGGGTCGCAAGTCGGGTGCGCGGATTGTCTTCTAACTGTAAAAGCAGCACAGCACCACCTGCTAGTTTAGGAGACTCCCGGTGGCGATCGCGGTTTAATTGTCCTGCGCCTCTGCCCCCCGCCCCCCACTCTCCCCGACTCCCGAGTCCTACAGCTGGCCAGGCCACCTCGAGTGACCCTGGCGGGAGGCAGAGACCATAGCAGAGCTCCTGGCTCTCCGGCCCCACCCCACACGGGCGCACATAGGGGCACGCGCGCACACGCGCTCCAGTTCCACAAAGTTGGGTGGTTGCCCCGGGACCGCACACACTCACAGGCTCGCACACAGACCCGCCTGCACTCTCGCTCCCGGAATAGCTGTCCCCACTTACCGAGATCGACGCTCCCAGCAAGACCAAGTTCAGCCGCCAACCCACGGCGTTCCACACCGCCCGGCTTTTCGTTCCTGCCGGCTCGGAGTCCGGCCCCGGGAACCCAGCGCTCCCAGGAGCTTCGCGAGTCACCACCCGCGCCGGGTTCGCGGGTCGCGCCCGACAGTCCCCTGCGACCCGGTCCCTGCGGGCGGCCCGGTCCCCCAAGCCCCTTGGCCCCGCGCTCGGCTGCCCGGGGTGCCGTCGCCGCCGCGCGCCCCAGGCGCCCGGGAGCCCCGCGGGCCCCGCCCCGCCTCGCTCCCCACCCGCGGCCGGGCAGGCCGGGGGACAGGACAGAGTCTGGACGGGCCCTGGCGCCGCCCCGCGCCCGCCCCGGAACGCCGCCTCGCGCCACCGCCGCGGGGTCAGCGTGTCCGCCAGAGGCGCTGCGTGCCGGCCGGGCCGGCGACGGCGGAGAGCGAGTGTGCGGAGAGTGTTGCTCCAGTGGCGTTCAAGCTTTGCAGGGTTCACCCTCCGGGAGTGGCCCCTTACCGCTGAGCGGTGTGGGACCTTTTCGCCTCCCGGCCGCCCCCACCGGGCTGGCCTCGGGTGGGCCAGCTCAGGAGAGAGCCGCTCAGAGCTCTGACAGCCGTGCGCCTCCCTTGCTGGATATTGCGGCGAGGGAGGGGGCCGGATGGGGGAGATGGAGAAGTGGCTCTTCGCTGCCCTTGGGTGACAGCCCGGCACACCGCGCTGTTTCGCTGTCGGACTGCTGAGGGGGACGGAGAGAGCTATCCCTTTCTCCCCATCCTTTAATCTCCCCAGTTCCCAGAACGTGAACATTGCTTCTCTTTAATGGGGAAGGGGGGTTGCACGTGAAGAGGCAGATTAGTCCGTCCCTTGATTCATTCCCCAAAGCTCGAGACAGCTGGTGCTAGTTCACGGCCAAGTCAGGAGCTGAGGACTCCATCCAGTCTCCCCATCGTGGGACTGCCTTGGTAGCCAGAGCAGGTGTGGAACCCAGGATTTCCAGTGGTGTGCAAATAATTGGGCTGGGAGCCCATGTGCTGTCCTGTCTCCCCCGCATTCTCTGCCTTTAGCTTCGTTGGCACAGCCGTGCTGGTCCCGGACCCGGTGTGTCTCATCCTTTCTCTGACTGTGATCTGAACCATTTGGCCTTGGCTCTGCTGCTGTCCCAGAGGACTCTGTAGGTGCTCAACAGTTAAGCGTGCAATGGGATGAACAGGTTGGGGTGCCCCCACCCTGCTTGCTGTTGCTGATCTGGGAGTCAGCAATGCAGGTTCTGATCCAGCTACTCACCCTTAGAGACCCAGACCCAGGGCTTCTTCAACTGTAAAATGGAGCCATAGATTTGGGCTCCGCATCACCTGATGGGGGCCTGGCTGCCAGCTAGGGGTGGGGTCCAGGAAGGATGCCAGCTGCAACCTGTCAGGAACAAGGACAGAAGGAACACGCTGCCACCCCTGCCGCCTCCCTGGGACCTCTGCTTGGGGGATACAAAGGCCTCTTTGTCCAGCTCTCTGCTTATTGTCCAAGCTGGTCCATGTTGCAGCTATGGCCTAGGTATTACCAAATCCCCAACTGGGGTCCCAATGCCCCTTGGGCATTAGAGCCTGAGGCAATCCTAGTTTCTTGCCTCGCCTCTGTCTTCCAAGGATGCATCAATGAAGGCCTGAGCTTTGGCCTCCACACTGGGCCCTGTTCTGCACCAGCTCCCTGACTTTATAGTGGGAGAAACCACATCTGAGCTAGGCAGCGTCTGAGCTCCCATGTCAGGCCATTCATTGACACTTGAGGAGCACAAGAAATGGCTTAGTCCTCGAGCCCCACAGGCTGGGTTCTGATTCCAGTTTTGGTTAAGCTACTGCCGACATGCCCACATCTTTTATCGGAGTGTCTGGTTCAAGTTCCAGATATTCTGATTGTGATCCAGGAAGGCAGCAAATGATGGCTTTAAGTATTGAATTCCTGCTACTCCCATGGAGTTCTCTGGTCTGGCCAGCCCTATAAATTGTGGGCATTTGTAGAATGAACCAGGGATGGAAGATCTCACCCTCCAACTCCCCTCTATCACTCTGGTTTTCAATTTTTTAAAAAAGATTTTACTTTATTTTTGTTGGAAAGTCAGATATACAGAGAGGAGGAGAGATAGAGAGGAAGATCTTCATTTGTTGATTTACTCCCCAAGTGGTCACAACAGCTGGAGCTGAGCCGATCCCAAACTAGGTGCTTGGAGCTTCTTCTGGGTCTCCCACGTGGTTGCGTGGTCCCAAGGTTTTGGGCCGTCCTCCACTGCTTTCCCAGGCCATAAGCAGGGAGCTGGATGGGAAGTGGAGCTACTGGGATTAGAACTGGTGCCCATATGGGGTCGTGGTGCATGCAAGGCAAGACTTTAGTTGCAAGGCTACCGTGCCACGCCCAATCAATTGTTTTTAAGAAGCAGGTGTCAGTTTTGCCTTAGCTTCTCCTATGATTCCTGTCTAAGCCTCAATTTTCTCTGCAAAATGGGTCAATACCAGTCCCTTACTTGCTGCTCTGCCTTGCATTCATTTTCCAGGGGTTTGTCCAACAACACCAAGCTGCTTAGGTCCAAGGGATTTACTGAGGGGCTGGGAGTTAATCTGACTTTCTCAGATATCTCCATAGTTATTATTTTTTTTTCCCCAGAAATCAAGTCCAACAGGCATGTCATTGGTTCCACCATCCCCAGCTGAGTCACTTCTTGCCTAGGATTGTCAGTGGGTCTCCATCTGGCTTTTACCTTTTTATGTTTATATTCATTGTTTAAAATGTACTGAAAATATATAGAGGATTTGAACATTGATCCAGCCAGGCAGTTGAGGTACACAGGGCAAGGCCCTATCTGAAGGGTAACCAACACCCAGGGAGGCTCCTGGGAACCCAGCAACTACAGCAGGTGGGGAGTGAGGGCTGGGCCCAGCACCAGTCCTCATGAGCATGAAGTAGAAAATGGTGTTATGGTGGTGGCTGCAGCTTCAGCCTCTCTCTGTGCATTAGGAGGCTTCCTGGCTTGCTGAGCCAGGGGAGGCATTCGGTTCACTCGGGCTTTCTCAGCTTCTCATCTGAAGAAACTGTCTGCCCTGAGAACCCCACCCTGGCCTAGGCGCTGGCCCATGGTGAACAGGCCAGGGCGGCCTCTCTGCTGCTCCTCACTGCCAGCACCTGTGTTCTGTTGCCTCCTTCTCTCCTCTGCAAGGCTTCCTATGCTGCTTGAAGCCTTCCACCTCCAGTCACCACTGAGGCGGTGCGTCTACATGCCTCCTGTTCCTCCATGCCCTTGGCCTCCTTCTCTGCTACCCTGAGACTTAGCCCAGAGCCCCATTGCTCACAATGCTGTTACCACGACCAGTGTCCATCTCCCCATAATGGGGAAGGCGAGCAGCTTTCAGAGCGCTGAGCCAGAATCCATCCTATTTGCAGTTAAATCCCTGGGGGCACTTAGCACCATTCCTGCTACAACCTCCACAGTATGGGTCATGAGGGAAGGGGCAAGACTGTACTTTAGTGATCTCTGTCTTTGTGCTAGTCGTTGTGTGATCTCATTTGAACAGCAGCAGAACCAACACAGATCCAGGAAGGAGAGGTGAGCAGGAAGTCTGTAGAGGGTCCCCAGCTGAGAAGGAAGGCCATGCAGACTGACTCCAGTTACACAGAGCTGGGCTGGCTGCAACATTCTCATTTTACTTGCACCCTGGACTACAGTGATGCCTGCCCCATCCTCCCTCCCTGGCCTGCTGGGAACCATGCTTCTCAGGTTTCCATGGCAGGAGCCAAGACTCTGATGCCAAATGCAACCTGAAAACTCCGGATTCCTGGCATGGCAGGAAATGGGCACCCAAGGGAGGCAGCCTTGAGAGGCAGGAAGTACAGTCCAGGTCTGAACAAGTCTCTGTTGTACCTCCCCCTAAGCAGGACCTGCTCCATCACTTGCTGGCTTCAGTGTGCTATGATTTGAATATGACTAGGTCTAAGAACTCATGCAAGACTTCAAATTCTGAAGTTATAAGAGGGCGGGGACTTAATCCAACTCTAGTGTGTCATGTGGGGCCTATGAGAAGTAATTAGACTGGATTAGGTCATTGGGGTGGGGCCTGTGACTGCATCCTAGTGGCTTTATAAGAGACGTGTAGACCTGGACAGACAAGCCCGTTTCCTCTCACCATGTGATGCTGTGCACCACTGCGGAACTCTGTCAGTCCATTACCAGAAGCTGAACCAAAGATGCCTCCCAATCTTGGACTTGAACCTCTAAAACTGTGAGCTAAATAAGCCTTTTCTCTTTATAAGTCGCCTGCCTCCCATATTTCATTACCATAACAGGAAGTTGTGGAATGTGCAGGGCAAAATGGAAATGTGGACCCCGATTTCAAAAGTTATCAAGAATTTCAAGGTAACGATGATAGGATGCTAGGCCAAGTTCAGGACCCTTCAAAGCATAGGCCTTGTGTGTCTGTACAGATCATATACCCACAAGGCCAGCCTTGTCCTCAGACCTTGAACTGCTTGTCCATCAAATGGAAGAATGGGAGCCAGCTGGGTAGGCAGGGGGAGGAGGAGGTCTGGCCAGCAGTGAGAATGCTAGTAGGGGTCCTATGGCTATCATTTGTTGCTGGGATCTCAGCACTGGGAGAATAGCGACTCTGCTTGTTTGCATGGACCCAAACACTGAGGCTCAGAGAAAGTAAGTGACTGGCTCAGGACACAGAGCCTCAGTGAGGGAAGCCAAGACTGGAGCCCTGGCTGGTCTCTGCTGATCTGTGCTCTTTGAGACACAATCAAAAGCAAGAAAAGGGCAGGGGGGACATGGAGGAGGCTGCCCAGGACAAAGAGGGCCACTGTGCAGAAACAAAGACCTGAGCACAGAGGCCCCTGCGGGGGCTGGACCAGACGCACAGCTACAGAACTCCATCAGTGGAGGCCAAGGAAGCTGCCAGAATCTGCCAGGAGCTGCCTCTCCCAGGTCAGGATGGGTGTGGGTACAGGCAGGAAGTGGAACAGGCAGGAGAAATGGACTCAAGGCTGGGCCCCTCATCACCCACACCCAGCTCAGGTCTCAGAGCCAAGGCTGCCCATCCTATCCCTCCATTGCTCACACCATGTACCTCCATGTGTGAGGGTGGAGCTCAGCTGGGTGTCTGATCATCCTGGCCACACAAGCCTGCTTCAGCCCCAGTCCCCAGCACCTCCAAGATGATGAA